CTCCCCAACCAGGTACGCGGGGTGGCGGTGTCGCTTCCAGGACGACGCGGTGCCGGAGGAACAAGTCCCGGGAACTCCGCGCTCGCCGCCCAGCCCGTCAACGCAGCCCAGAGGCTGTGTCCCCGCTCCTGGGATACAGCCCCGGCGATGCCCCCTGGGTGCTGCCAGACGCCCGTCCCCAGCCCTGTGCGGGCCTCCAGGGGCACTCTGGGCCACTTCTGCCCGGTGCTGCCGCCCCGGAGGGTGTGATTAGAGGCACATCAACTGGGTATTCAGCCCAGATAGGGATCCACGAGCCCAGGACCCCCTCTGGGACACAAGGGTGGCCCAGAGAGAGAGGAGGGCTTGACCGGAGCAGCCCTGGCGGGTCCTCAAAAAGTTGGAGCAGGCTAGCCCGGATCTCCACTCCAGCAGGCCCAGGGACCTCCTGACCGGCCCCTTTAACCCTTTATTGGGCTTGTGGAGGGTGGGGTGGAGAGCCAAGCCCCCCAGCCCGATGGGGAGTCAGAAGCGGGCAGCTCTGCGGTTCTGCAGGACGGCTGGGTGGCGGTGCACACCCTGGCCTGTTGATGCTCTGGGCTCTGGGGAGACCTTGGTCGGGATGGACTGGTGCAGCCCTCTCATAGGCTGGAAAGGGGCATTTACAAGCTCGTGCCACCCAGGTCTGCAGGAATGCCCATCCAGCGCCCCCAGCAGGGCAGGGCCAGCTTCTCTCTCTGGCCCTGGCTTGGAGGCCTAGGGGCAACGTGTCTTCAGAGCCAACCTGGCTCTGAGGCCCACGGCCAGCCTTGGCGGACCTTCTTCACCTGGGCCCCGCCTCCTGCATCCTCAGGTTGGGCTGCCCAGGGTCAGAGGAGTTGGAAGGAGAGAGGGGAGGAAGGAAGAGGGGAAGAAGGAAGAGGGACTCTAGGGGGCTCCTCCTGCAGCAGAGCTTCCTCTCCCTGAGCCTGGGGACCTTGTGCCCCAAGGAAAAGTCCCTGGGGACCCTCTGTCCCTCTATCGCTGACTCAGTCCCTCAGTCTGCCCTTGCCAGGAAGGCTGCTGCCCAGACCCTGGCATGCTGGCTTCAGGTAGTCGGGAGGGAAGAGTCACCTCCCCCCGCTGTTCTCCTTCCAACCACAGTTGTCCTGGCCTCCTCTGAGCTTTAGCATGAGGCTTGGCACATGACTGCATGTAAGGGGGTGGCAAACTGGAGGCACCCAACTTCACGTTTGGTGTCAGGGTGTCAGGGCCCCCAGACACCCCAGGCTGACTCCCTTCCCCTCCCCCCAGTACGGCATTGTCCTGGACGCTGGCTCTTCACACACGTCCATGTTTATCTACAAGTGGCCGGCAGACAAGGAGAATGACACAGGCATCGTGGGCCAGCACAGCTCCTGTGATGTTCCAGGTGAGACCCAGCCCAGCCCAGCCCAGCCAGGACATCCACTCACTGCAGGGTCTCTGGGGCCCTCTCCAGCCTTAGCCGGTGCATTTCCAAGCACTTAGGGCCTTCTGCTTACTGTTGGGTGGGGCTCACTCCAGGCAGAAGCCCTGGAAAGAAAGAGAGGCTGGGCCCCCTCCGCCTGGGTGGGGCCAGGAGTCGTTCGCTTTCTAGAAAGGAAGCCCAGGCAGCAGGTAGGAGGTTTGGGCCTTGCCGGGCCCAATATTGGCTTCTGTGCCCCAGATGGAGCAGGAGGAGGTCTGGGGGCCTGGCGGGCATACCCAGGCAGGCCCCAGGAGGCCAACCTGGGTCGACCATGCCCAGGGCTTTGTCCTAGCCCCTGCACTCACACCCTCTCAGCAGGCAGCAGCCTCGGTCTCTAGGTGGCGGCTGGGCCCCTTTGCTCTAACCTGGGCATTTCTGGGGGCTTAAGCTGGGAAGGTGTGCCACCTGGTCGGGGAGCCCATGGCTCCTACCCCCACTCTCACTCTCCTGGCCTACGGCCCACCTAGGGGCTGCCCGTGAGGCACAGGCTCATCTCTCTGCCTTCCTCTAGGCGGGGGCATCTCCAGCTACGCAGACAACCCTTCTGGGGCCGGCCAGAGTCTTGTTGGATGCCTTGAACAGGCGCTTCGGGATGTGCCCAAAGAGAGACACGCGGGCACGCCCCTCTACCTGGGAGCCACAGCGGGTATGCGCCTGCTCAAGTGAGTGTGCCTGTGCCCTGGCCCTGTCCCCATGATAGCTTTTGGCTGTGACCCCTTGTGGGGTGGACCCCGAGTACTGCCACAGCAGGCTCACAGCCACCTGGGGAGGAGGCCTCTTGGAGTTCTCTGTGTTTTGCAGCCTGACCAATCCAGAGGCCTCAACCAGTGTGCTCACAGCAGTGACGCACACACTGACCCAGTACCCCTTTGACTTCCGGGGTGCACGCATCCTCTCGGGCCAGGAAGAGGGGGTGTTTGGCTGGGTGACTGCCAATTACCTGCTCGAGAACTTCATCAAGGTGGGCCCAGCAGCTAGCCAAAGAGCCAGGGGGCGTGGGTGCCCTCGGTCCCTGGTTGACCCCACACTTCCCTCTCCACAGTACGGCTGGGTGGGCCGGTGGTTCCGGCCACGGAAGGGGACGCTGGGGGCCATGGACCTGGGGGGTGCCTCCACCCAGATCACCTTTGAGACGACCAGTCCGGCTGAGGACAGAGCCAGTGAGGTCCAGCTGCGTCTCTACGGCCAGCACTACCGAGTCTACACCCACAGCTTCCTCTGCTACGGCCGTGACCAGGTCCTCCAGCGGCTGCTGGCCAGCGCTCTCCAGGTGCCTCTCCACCCTGGCTGACCTGCACTGCACCGTCCCCTCCTGGAGCGGAGCCTGGACAGCCACCGTGCTGTGGAAAGCTTCTCCAGGCTGGGCTTTAATTGGCTAGAAAGACAGGTGGGAGGGTCAGAGGGTGAGCAAAGGGCCAGTGGCTGGGCTGGGCCTGGAGAAGGGAGGGCCAGGGACATCCGTCAGAGGGAGCCCGGTCAGGGGCGTTGGGATCTGTCAAGCAGGCAGTGGGGAACCATGGATTGCCCCTGAGCACAAAAGTGAGGTTACCAGAGTGAGACCTGGGGGAGGTTCGTCAGGCTGGCCCTCTGGAGCGGCGGTGGTGCCGCCCTGTCATGCTGGTGATTCCCCCAGACCCACAGCTTCCACCCCTGCTGGCCAAGGGGCTTTTCCACCCACGTGCTGCTCGGGGATGTGTACCAGTCACCATGCACCGTGGCCCAGCGGCCCCAGACCTTCAACAGCAGCGCGTGGGTCAGCCTGTCGGGAAGCAGTGACCCCCACCTCTGCCGAGATCTGGTTTCTGGGCTCTTCAGCTTCTCCTCCTGCCCTTTCTCCCGATGCTCTTTCAATGGGGTCTTCCAGCCCCCAGTGGCTGGGAACTTTATCGTGAGTAGGGGCAGACGGGTGGCGGCAGGTGCCCTGAGCTGCTGGGGTCTGCTCACAGCGTGCCTGTGCCCCCTTACAGGCCTTCTCTGCCTTCTTCTACACGGTGGACTTCCTGCGGACTTTCATGGGGCTACCCGTGGCCACCCTACAGCAGCTGGAGGCAGCCGCAGTGAACGTCTGCAACCAGACCTGGGCTCAGGTGAGTCCCGCTCCCCCTTCTCCAGGGCTGTGTGGAAGGGCTCAGCCTTCATGTCCGCATACCTCCCCAGCCCTGCATGGAGGGGCCTCTCGGAGTACCCGCTGCAGTGGGGGCGATGGCAGGCATCAGGCTGACTCCAGAGGTGGTGGGAATGTGGCCGGGAGGCTGTGAACAAGTCGGGCGGGCTGGAGAAGCTTTGCCAGGCCCGACCCTCATCCCAGATCTGGAGGGCAGAGGGGAGGCCGGTGCCCAGGTTTCTGGCTCTGCCACTGGTCCCTCCATGGTGCCACGCAAGGGAAGATGGAAGTAGGGCTGGGCACAGGGAGTGTGCCCACTGGAGACTCCAAGAGAAACGTACGAGCTGTCCCAGGACTGGGGTGGTGAGCGAGGCCCTATCTCGTCCTCCCAGGGCCTAGTCTCAGACAGACTGGGGTGGGGCAGGTTGGGACTCAGGCCTGGAGCTCCTCCTGTTCCCCTGGCCACACACCAACGTGCTGCTGCCCCCGCTCCCTGGTGGCCATCCCTGCTGTCCCTCCTCACTGGCCTTCCAGGCACGGGCGCTGGCTGGGGAGGGATGGAAGCGTGCCCAGCTGGGGGTGCGCCTTAGACTCGGTCTTGCCATTCGTGTCCGGGCCTGTGTGGTGGTCTCTGGCCTTGCACCGCCCGTGTGTGTCTGGGGAGGGGTGAAGCATGCCGCCGGCCCCCTCTCCCCGTGGGGCGGAGACCTCCTGGTGGTCGCCTGCCTGACTGTGTCCTGCCCGCATCCCAGCTGCAAGCTCGGGTGCCGGGGCAACAGGCCCACCTGGCCGACTACTGCGCCGGGGCCATGTTCGTGCAGCAGCTGCTGAGTCGCGGCTACGGATTCGACGAGCGCGCCTTCGGCGGTGTGATCTTCCAGAAGAAGGTGGGCTGGGGCCGGAGCGGAGCGGGGCCGCCCTTGGGGGG